GGCAGTGCCCACAGCCGGCATGGGCGGGGCCGGCAGTGCCCACACCCGGCATGGGCGGGGCCAGCAGTGCCCACACCCGGCATGGGCTGGGCCGGCAGTGCCCACACACGGCATGGGCGGTGCTGGTACGAGCGGGGCTGGGCCGGCAGTGCCCACACCCGGCATGGGCGGTGCTGGTACGAGCGGGGCTGGGCCGGCAGTGCCCACAGCCGGCATGGGCGGTGCTGGTACGAGCGGGGCTGGGCCGGCAGTGCCCACACACGGCATGGGCGGTGCTGGTACGAGCGGGGCTGGGCCGGCAGTGCCCACACCCGGCACGGGCGGTGCTGGTACGAGCGGGGCTGGGCCGGCAGTGCCCACAGCCGGCATGGCGGTCCCGGCACAAGCCGGGAGATGTCGGCAGGTGTCCACTCCTGGCACGGCCACTTCCGGCACTGGCACGTTCTCCGCTGTTCTACAGTTTTATAATTTTGTTCCTTTTCCAAGCGAACGGCAGGATTTGCTATTTTTGCCGCTGTGTTGGCCATTTTGCTGCAGCTTATGTTGTTTTAGGCCCCTGCCACACAATGCCACTTACTTGCTAATTTTCCCCTACCCGAAAAGTTGGTTAATGATCTTGCAAGAAGTTCAGAGCGCAAAAAAATGTATATGAACTTGCTTACACCTTGTGCCAACAAAGTGAGGAAAACCAGTGGTTTCGGCTGTCAAATTCTTAGGAGCAACGAAAGGATCACGGAGCAGGACACGCACTAGCCCCGTGTTCGTGGGCATCTCCGGCCCAGGCCCGAGTGATCTGACGGCAGCTTTATCAAACCCTGCCCTGGGGCCGGCTGGAGCTGCAGCCTGCCTCTGGAGACACAGATCAAACGGGGTGCTGAGCTCAGCTGGGGCCGGACAACCCGCTCCACCTTCAAAGCAAGGTGGCCACATCCACACTGCCTGCAGTGCATGCTCCTGTGCGTGATTCTCAAAGTGGCGTCTCCTCCTTGGTCTGGGCCAAACCACTGCCACGGCAATATCCGAACGTTTTTAGCAGGACAGAAAGTCAGATTTCATTCCCCAGTACTCCTTTGTAATTTTCCAGGGGATATGCTATTGATACGTTTTTATGTATTTACCTTTTTGTAATATTTAATTGGAAGCAAGTCCATATATTTCTTTATACATACAAAAAAAAACCCCAAACTTTAACCTGAAGCAACAGGTTTGTTTTTTTTCAAATAGCCACTGCTCATCCCACACAGTTTTTTCCCTTCACCACCTGACTGCAGCCTGAGTTCCTTAGGAGTAAGGAGTGCATCTGCCAAAATCCTCTGAGTATCTGTAAGAAGATGGAGCTTTCGCCTTTGACCAGTATGTTAATACCCAACAGATTTTACAGAGACTTGGCAACACACTGTCCACGGCAGGTCAAGGAGTTCCATCAGAGTTCCCACATTTCCTGGGAGTGCTGTACCCAGCCTGGACCAGAGGGGGAGAAGTATGACAATGCTGAGAAACCAGAGATGCTTTTCATTATAATTGAATTTCATTTCTACACATGTTTTAGGTTTTGGCACAAAAGCAGCACCACACCTTTGGAAACCATGGTTTACAGTTTGCTGTCCATAGCTAATTCTACTGAACCAGAACCTGCTGATTTTTCCTAAGTCAGCAGCTATGTCTATTTCTGTTGTTTACTTTCTTGTTGTTTGTTTTACTTCTAGGGTTGGTTTTTTTTTCCTTTCTTGATGAATATTAATCCCCAAATTGTCTGTAATTAGGTGAAGATCGACCCTGTTCGTTTGTTTTATTTCAGTTAACTGGTGGCACTAACAGCATTGCAAAAAATCGTACAGCAGATTACTTCAGCAGAAATTAAGAATCAAAATTAACATCTATACTACTAGACTTAATTACTGTATTACTGTACTTAAACTTACAAAGCAAGACCTTACCCTTTTACACAAA